CCCCACTTTCAATGTTGATAATCAGGTGATTTTTCCCTTTTTTGTTGGAGAAAACGCGATATTTTCCAACATTGATTCGGGGGGAAGGGGGATACGTGATACAGCTCAAGTGTCCCAACTACTTTTGGCCGGGATTGTAGCTTAAACAGCTAATGGGTCGAGTTACAAAACTTGTAATTAGCTAAAAGAACTAACGTGGAAGAAAAAAAATAAATGTTCCAAACGAACCATAACTATGCCGGATGTCTAACTACGGCCGGCAAATGGTCTGCCGAACTACACTGTACATTGTGAAGAAATACCACCTTTTGTCCTACATTATGTAAAATTATGGTAATAGTGAAACAATATACACTTTCAAGGCATTACAACATGAGAATCACTCGCTCGAAGATGTTTGTTTTCCGTTGTGTGATATGGTAGATGATGTCTGACGCGTTACGTTACGTGATAAATGTACATGTACCTTTCGTGATGCGTTATAATTCATGATTAAAAAGTATGAAAATAGTGTGTGCACTTTCCGGGGAGTAATCATGTCAATCGCTGTATTTTGTAGGGGCCACTGGCACGGCGAAGTGGCAGTCAAGATGATCGAGATTGAGAATCCAACAGAAGAACAGCTCAACGCCTTCAAGTTCCAAGTTGGGACATTTCGAAAGACTCGCCATGAAAACGTCGTGCTATTCATGGGCGCGTGCATGGATCCGCCAAAACTCGCTATCATAACCAGGTAGGCCATAGCCTTCATGTAAGCCTCACTGTGTCATACCTGCTAATTCGCAGACAGGAAACAACGAGGGTTTTAGGATAGGGGAAAAGCTATGAGAAAAATGGGTGGGCTGACAGGGTCAGGCTGAGTATCATTGCGACAAAAACACACAAGAGAGTGGAAATGTGTAATCCAGTTTCATAGAATCAAACTATTCATTTTTAATATTAATATGCAATAATAAAGATAAGACCCTTTTCTACTTCTTTCACGCAAGATTAGGGTAATCAAGGATGATAAAATGGTGACGTGTGAAATTACGAAATTATTTCACTGCGTTTTGTCAAAATTCTAATAAATTTCCCTCGCCTTTCAGACCATTTGATTGCCGTTTAATATCGTGGTTGACAAATTAATTATGCGTACAATCCTGGGTTTTCGGACTTGTTTATTGTATCGAGAAATTTCGCCCAAACGTTGTCATGGCTATAATTATTTCGTAATTTTACATGTGAAAATATAAATTGTAGCTGAAATTTCGCGCGTAATTTTTGACCCATGATATTATTAGGGAAATGCTTTAACTGTGTTGTAGCTTTCGTTTTCCTTGATTGGTTCGTTGAAGCCGTAAAATTCATGTTAGTTACGGGCTTATATCCTCCACCAGTAATATAAAGTAAAGCTTGAACAATAGTAAGCGATCAGTGTAATAGTTCAGGTCTTCATCAGTGGCTTATACGTTGATTTTGGGAAGGGGACAGGCAACAGGGGACGGAGTGGTTCTCCATTGCATGTAGGGTTTCCTTGTTATCTCATTATGTTGACAAGAACATCTTATTTGTGTCTTTGTAGTATGTGCCGTGGATTTTCTCTTTACACACACATACATGTGAGAAAGGATAACCTTCCACTGCCCAAAATCGCGCAGATTTGTACTCAGATTTCTCAGGTAAGAGACGTTTTCCTTCCATCTGTCACGCTTTAATCTGTAATTTTAGGGCGGGTGTTACCTGCTTTTCGTCCTTCCACTCAGAATAGGAAAACGAACCAAATGCTTACATAAACTCAATAGATACGTGTAGCTTGCCTTCTATGCCCAAGTTTGAAAGCGCATTGGCGTAATGGGCAACAGGTTAGTCTCTGCTTTTAAACTAAGTCCGTGCCGAGCGCTAGCCGGAATGATTGCGATGTGTGCTCTCATCATCCATGGGTGTAAATGGGTACCGGTGAATTTAATGCTGGGGTAACCCTACGATGGACTAGCATTCTATTCAGTGGGTGGGGTGGGGGTAGAAATACTCCTACATGTAGTCGCTTCATGCTACTGAAATCGGAGAAAAGTGCGGGCGTGGTGAGCCACTTGGCTCGTATGCAGACTTTACCTTCGACAAACATTTGTGGTGGCGCACTGTTATGTATAACGAGACAGAATGCAATGAACTGGCGTCCCATCCAGCGGGGGGGGGNGGGGAGTAGTAATACTCCTAGTTGCTTCTTACTACTTCATGTTACATACAATTGTAAAGAAGCCTAAAAAATTTTTCAGGGCTTCAAAAAGAATCGAACCCATGACCTTCGCAGGACTATTGCAATTCATTACCAACTGATCTAATGAAGCCACACATTGGGAGAAAATTCCAATTGTGTTTTCATGTTTGTACGTCAAGTAATGTATTATCATGAAATCACAGAGTAAATTCCGTGTTGATTTTCGCGCCTGTACGGTGTGTTCATGTGTATCCACAGGGGATGGGATATCTTCATGCTCGAGGCATCGTACACACTGATCTGCGTTCAAAGAATGTATTTCTGGAGTTGAATAATCGCGTGGTGATCACTGATTTCGGCCTATTCAGTGTAGCTGGCCTGACCACCAAGTCGGTCAGACCAGGGATGCTGATGATCCCAGAAGGATGGCTGCCGTATTTAGCTCCTGAAATTCTTCGCTCGCTGACGACGCAACAAGACGCGCCTGATTCGTCGCAGTTCACCTTTGCAACCGATATGTACGCCTTCGGGTAAGTCACAGTCACGTGTCACAGCAGCGGGTATAAACACTTCAGTCCTAAGCAAGCTGTTTATAGTTCTTTTCTCCAGTAAAGGAGAGCTCAGTCACAGTATTTTGAGTTACTTTGGCCACGTACAAAATTGCCTTTAAATTGAAGGAAACCTGAAAACAATAGTTAACTAAGATAGAAAAACACCAAAGAGTTAATAATAAACCACAAAGGAACAAGGATAGTTCAGGATGGAAAAGATTAACACGGATTACAAACCGCGAACTTGAAGGATTAAGCCTACACTTTTCAAGAAACGCAAACCGTGACGTAGTTCCTTTAAACTACTCCTCTTTCCCTTCGGTTTCAAGTTAAGTTGAAAGTGAGCGCTATACTTCTTATCCGCCGCACTGAAGCTAAAACTGGAGTAATCACACACTCACAGTAGTCACACACTGAACAGCACACGGATACTGATACAAACCAATGAGAACACAAGCATGAACATGTAACCGATGGTAAGCGCGGGAAAATGTACGAAGGGTGGAAAGCGCGGGAAATCAAGTACGGAGTGCCGGAAGTGACTGGCAGGGAAAAAAAAAATGCAGAAGCAAGTTTTGAACTGAAATTGTCTGCGGTTGGTTTTTTTTAGGACTGTTTGGTACGAGATGTGTTCTGGCTCATGGCCGTTCAAGAAACAAATTCCTGAAGCCATTATTTGGCAAGTGGGCAAAGGAGTGAAACAATCACTAGCGAATGTGGATGTTCCACGGGAGGTCAAGGTATGTTTTGACAAAGTTTGGTTTTAGTACTGTACAGTGGGGGAAACATGTGCTATTGACATGTGTTGTTAAAACTAAGTCATGCATCATTACATGGCGCAGAATGCGATTGTTATTGTTGCTTTGTTTTTTCTCGACGTCCTTACAGTGCAAGGTTTTCTAAAGTAATCAACAGTATATTGGCATAGAATTGGTGGGCCATGATAAGTTAGGAAGCTCAATATTGGTGATACTCGAGTCTTTCTTGCAAAGAGAGAGCTCATGTTGTACTGTACGAACAGTTAGCACTAGGGACATTGAATATTCTTAATTCAAACCAGTTTGGACTGATGGGACAAGTCGCACAGATTACATGAAGAGACTTGCTATTGGACTCGCAATCAAAATTATCCTCTTTCATTGCTGATCCTAGCAGCGTGCAGGACGCGTGCCACATATGAACTTAGCAAATGGCCTAGTTCACTTAAGTCTCTGTAGCTCAGTGGCTAGGGAGTATCCAACCGGTATGTTTAAATCCGGCCGGGAACTCTTTTTCTTTTTCCTCTGTCGTACACTCGCGGCGCGCTGAACATTTCATGTTTCGCCATGATCCAAAGGTTTCACGAATTTTTCTCATTTTTTCTTTTTCAGGATACTTTGACAGTTTGCTGGGCGTTCGAAGCAGATAATAGACCCACTTTCAGCAATTTACTGAGAACGTTAGAAAGACTACCTAAAATAAGACAACGGTTACACAGAAGTCCGTCCCAACCTTGTACTGTGGGAAGAGGGGCTGAGGCGCTTATTTGAAGTGAATAGTAGACTCAAGGAAAGGAGGGAAAACTTCGCTGTCTTTCGCTTAACCTCGTTTCCAAGATCCGGGATGTAAGAAGAGCCTGGGAATGAGAATACCGGCACTGACTGCTAGAGGATAGTTCAGTGTGTCACAAACGAGTTTGCAGGAAGCGACTTGAATTGAATTAATGAAGTGCCTATTTCATAACTGCGGCGCTGTTTTCTCTTGACATTTTAAGCCAAGATGAGCGTCAAATTTCTCCTTAATGTTGTCGATACATTTCATTAATTCCCTTTAGGAGAATTTGGTTGGGCGGGAAATTGTGGTGTGATCGTCCTCTTAATTACCTGCCAATTGTAATTTATTATAGGAAGGTTTGGAGAAGTTAGTAGTTGATTACTGAAGGCAATCAGTGTATTTCTTCGTTGGTGAGATGTCAAACGAAAGCAGGTGCTTTTTGAGTGAACAATGGTTAGGTTTCACTGTTCTCTTGCCATTCCCGGCTGGTTTGGGTTTGAGCAGCCAGACTAGTATTCGGTGAAAGCTTATTCAGGAAAAATTGTTTTTGAAAAATTTATTGGCCCTAGCCTTCGACGTCCGACAGGATTATAAAGTTGTATCAATGTTCACAGAAGTGCTCGTGCAGAGTTCTTTTCATAAGCCATCGCTTCTGTTCCGTGAGAAAAAAAATTGTAAATAGATCAAGATTGAATGTACCTCCTTATGAGATGAACCTCTGTACCACGCGAAAAGAAATATTTTCTTGTAGTTTCGTTCTTTCCTTTTATGACTGCTTCGTAGAATTTTCCTGGAAGTATTGCTTCATCCACAACAAAGTTTGAAAGAGTTTTAAAATTAGTTTTATTTACGTTGTGTGAGGAAACAAACGCTGCTGTTTTGGCGCCCCACTTCTTGCACTCTCTGAGCCTAAAATTCGAGCGACACATTGTATTCTGATGGCGCATTACTACAGGTTAGGGAAACGTGCTTTAAATCTCTTTCTCGATATCAATTCTCAGTTCAGATTCTTTTGTCAACTTGTATGTGATGCGTTCACTGGTGTGGTCGGTAATTAAGCAGTCATTTTCTGTTTCAGGAAATACGAGAGTAATTTTCGCCAAGAGGAATCGTTGATAACGTGATAGAGAATCTTGCTAACTCAAAACGTGTCTCAAATGATCAAGAAAATTCAGGTCTGCTACGTGTGCAAATGTTTCAGGTAATTTTGTTTTTAAAATTATGAATTAATTACGGGCGGGGAAAATAATTGTAAGAAAATAGTGTCTTCAGCTAAGGCCCGTGGTCTTAAGAAAATTTAATTTATCTTAAAACAAAATAAAACAATACAAAAGAATTGACCAAATCTGAATGCAGGTCATAATGCTAAAGTGTGCCTTGTATTGGGACTTCATTCCTTGGTACGCAGTCTTATTATCCCTGTTCTGTACCACTTCCAAAAACGCAAGACAGTTTAACCGCAAACTTCAAATCTTTGTTAAAGAAGGGATATAGCATGTAGGTCTGTAGTACTGCTCTTAAGCTGACGTCTAACGCGGACGCCTCCTGTTTAACTTTACCTCCTTTTTGGTGTAGGACATCCCTGCCTGTGGAAGGTGGGTTAAAGCTTGTACTGAGCGTGTCCAATCACCAATATATATGTACTCCTTGTGAATTTTCGTGTCAAGAATGAGGATGAATTTCAGGGTACCATGTACATCCGTTTGAATTGTAGATATCATTTTGTATCTTACATCGAGCCCTGTTCAGGGATGTAAATAAGTTTGTTGGAGTCGACCTACTCCAGCTAAAGAGAAATTGTACAGTTTTAAGAGAGCAAGGTTTGCATGATTTGTAATGTAATATTTTCTTCCAGATCAGTGAAGCGCTGTGTTAAATCTCGTAAATTATTAGTTACAGTTTGCAGTCTGTCCTTTAACTCTTTCAGTCCCAATCTCTGAATATTAAATAAGTTTGTCTTACTGGTCATGGTTGCTTCGTGTTTTCTAAGCTCGTCGTATTGACCGGAATAATGTTAAATAAGTTTTGATACCTGCTACGAAGGCGCCAACTCGACCGCTCTTTTTATGGGTGACTGGTCCGGTAGCGGTCCGTTAGGTGATCAACGAGGGCAGATTATCTGTTTCTATCTCGCTGCCCAGTTACACATTCGCAGAGTAAAGGAAGCGGTATGGACCACATCCGAACAAACTAGCCTTTGTGTAGGCTTCGTACACGCAAACTCGCTGTCCACCGACTGGGGAGAATAATAAAAAGGATTTTTCTGCCCAATCAGGAGCCAGCATTCACAGAGCTGTTTTGGAACTGGCGGGCTAAGCCTCCGCCCTAGGGGTTCCCCGCTGTCTCTCCAACTTTTCTCTTCCGAGTTTCGACTTTCCCTTGCCCCCACTAACAGCTCCTGGGTCTCCGAGGATGCATCCATCCGAAGCCAAAACTGCCCTACCGTCCCAAAAACGGGCGAACCTAGGTGTTCACTCGATCGGGACCCAGCGGTTCCAAAACTGGACCTGGTATTTGCGGGGACGTTTAAAACACCAAATGACGAAATGAAGAAATGTCATTACGGTCAGCCTAAATAGCGTTTCGGTTAGCCTAAATAGTGCTCAGGTTAGCCTAAATATCATCGACTTAAGGTGGCTCCATAAGGTAATCATTTATGGCGTTGCGCGCGCAAGTGTTATGTTTTGATTGTCGTTTTTGCGTTCGTTTTTACACCGAGTCCTCTCAAACTAATTACATGTAATAAGCAACGATTAAATAGTGTTTTACTATTATCTTTGTTGAAATTATTGGTTTTAGTCTTGAATTATAAATGCCCAAACAAATATGTTTTTTACTTTTTTATGGCTTTACTTGCGATTTTCTTGAATTTCCTTCGGTGAAATCTTCCCAAATTTTCACAGCATATCGCTTCCTGCGGGATACAAATTTCACCGAAGGAAACGCGAGAAAATTTACTGTCCGTTTTGCTTGTTGTGCTCATGTTGACGTAATAAAATATCGAAAAACAGTGAAGTTTTCCTTCGAGCGCGCGCAGCGGATTACTCAAGCTTTCGTCCTCGATCGTAAACTATAGGGAGCCACCTTAAAAGGTGGTTAGCTCTCAATATAACATTCTTAAGTGCCACTGCGTCAATTTTTAAACACGAAGGCGCGCTATAAAAGGGCGTGCGCTCCTCCCGCAAATTTTGAATTAACCCCAAAAATGCTTGCTTCACGCTGTGACAGTATTCTACAATAGCCACTGGGATCGGACTTAACATTAAAAATAAAGTTGAACTCCGCCATTTCGAACTCGCAGGGGAAACGAAAGATTGTTCGAAATAGCCGATAGTAAATAACTGAACGGCAAATCCAAGGGAAATGGTTTTGAGTTCGAAATAACGGGGAATTCGAAATAACCGAGTTCAAATTAGCCGGGTCCAACTGTAGAACAATTATTTGCATAGACATTGCGAACAGTGGAACGATATCAGTTTATAATCCTCTTGTAAACATGATTCATTGAAACAGAGACAAGTAGAGACAGCAAAGGCACTTAAATTCACTTACAGCTTAGGGCTCTCGTTTAGTTACTCTGGTCCCAGAGGTTTTTCTCGCGAAAAGAAGAAAAACCAAGAAAAACCTCTGGGATCAGGATATCGTTTAGTCAAATCACCCGCCATTTTGAATTTGACCCACGCACGTCAGCGATGACTGACAAATGAGTCTTGGTCTTCCCAAGGAAGACTTCGTGTTTAAAAGACGCCCTCTTTGTAGGTTCAAAACCTTGGGCAGGATCGGCATTAGCCGGACCTATTTGGAGCTAGCCCCCTGTGAGCATAGCCTTATGTGTTTCGTAATGTCAGAAACCTATCGGGGGTTGAGCAACCCCTTATGGGCTTCTGATAATACCCGTAGCAGGTCACACTGCTGCGAAATTTTGCTTATCGAAGCCAAGAAAGTATTACTAAACATCATTTTGGTCAGGAAAACTTCATTTGCATTTACCGTTAACACACCAATTTGCATACACGTTAAAAGAAACTCGGTTCCGTCTTAGACCTCGCCCTTTTTTCGGTTACTTAATTAAGGCCACCATACGTTGTTTAAATGATGCAGGGAGTGCAGTAGTATACAGGCCGAATAGAAACAGAACAGAGAAAGGCAGCGACTCGCTGGCAAAGCTCGCTGTGCACGAAATAACGTACCAAGCTTTCATTATTCTGAATCATATGCATCCAGAAAATGGAAAACAAAATCGAGAACGTAGATGTAATTACCCAGACTCCTGCAAGCACTGGAGCACCAATTGAAAGAGCCACAGTATTGCGACGTTGCGTGTTTTTTGCTAGGCCTGTTAAGATTCAGAGTTAATAAATCGCCAATAGCAGGAAGAGCGAAGATAGGGAAGGAAGCCATCCGGTGTTAAAGCTTCTTTGCAAGGTAGTTTGAAGAAATGGAGGCGCGTGTGAGACACTCGCATTCATCAAAATAGAAAATTGTTGGAACATTAATTTCCCGGTGTCTATGGGTCGCGCAATTTTAAGCTTGTGGTTTAACAGCCCTAGCTGGAAGAATTTTCCCTACACGTGAATTAATCGATATCACATTACTGACAAACAAATTTATTTCAACCAAACTGAGAGATGTTATGCATAAAGCAGGAACAATTTTAACACATCTTGTTGCCGAAAGAAAAACGCGTCCTTTTTTCCAGCTGAAAGATGAACTGGTTTTTAGTGTTTTGCAAAACGGCCATCTTTGCAACTCGGGGTATATCACATGATATCTGTTGAGGACGAATGACGAGGAATACCATGACTGTATGGGCATCGTGGCAATTTGCCAAATAATGGGCTCTTTCCATTATGCTAAAATTTCCCGACTGAATTTCGCTCTAAATTTTGGTCCAACCGAGAATATTCGGGAAATATGGACTACTTTTGAAGGAGACCCACTTTGACGAGGGTCTAAATGGGGTTAATCCTTAGCCGTAAAACGGGCCACAAGTTTAGCCGTCAGGCGTAAAAATTGGAAAATATATGTTACAAAGTAACCGTTAGCCGTAAAAGCCACTAACCAAGACCCTCTTTCACCGATCGGACAAGGTTCATTGGCCGTAAAAGCCACCCCTCCCCTCCCCCCATTGAGACCCTCTTTCACCGGTCGGACAAGGTTCAGTGGCCGTAAAAGCCACCCCTCCCTCCCCCACTGAGAAGTTCAATGGCCTACCTCTCCTCAGTAGGGTTTCACTTATGTTTGAGATTGGAGAAGGAATAGACTGAAAATGGCTATAGAGTCATTTTTCTCTGTTGGCCTGGTTTGATCGCAAAAAGGTCATTCAAATGGACATACTAGTCGATATGATAAAATAGAAAGCACCCAATATAAACAACAGATGTCAAGGGCTCCTCATAATACATGGGCATTAATATATATATAACAATCTTTTAAGGCGGGGGTTTACCTAAAAGCACACCAGTTTTTCAGACTTTTTCACGGTTAGGATTTAATTCCAAACCATGGCAAAGTATACATTTTTAGAAAGCTTAAAGAACAAAGATTATGAAAAAAATATTTTTGTGCATTAGAACTGTATTGTAACCCGACATCGGCTGATTAAATCTGCCACCTGCTAAGGAATGCCAGAGGATAACTCCCACAAGAACTGATCAAAATGAATATTTTTTGCATATTTTAAAAGAAGACAAATAGCTTACTGGTTTAAGCATAGAGAAGTTTAAAAAGTTGAAAAAATTCTGATCCAGAAAATCCAGCATACGTTTCAATGCATAATTTCGACAAAATGCACTGGATGGGAAAGTTCTATGCTTAAAACTCAAAACTTACTCTAGGACTGTGCAATAATCACCTGGAGGGCGGGCTGGAAAATTAGAGGGGGTGGGGGCATAGGAGAAAATGACAGCAAGAGAGAGGGGGGGNGTTGGATGTAAAATTTAATATGTGTGGGAATGCCTTGTTTGAAAAGCTTCAGAAATTAAAAGAGGACCATGTTCGTGGTAGGGCAAGAGGTGTTCCTGTCCAACGTTCTCCAGTTCCAACCCTTGATGCTACTTCGCCTGGTATGTTCCCAGTACAACGTGGACGAGACTGCATGTAAAAGTTATGTACAGCACCTTGAGTTCCTCGATGCAAAAGCCAAAAAAAGAGTAAGAGAAAGCAACCCTCTTCCGCTTATTTCTTGGACAATTGAAAAAGATGTAAAAGCGCTTACCAACAAGCAGCTGAAAATGTATCTAAGGGAAAAAGGTCTTAAGTGATGTTTGTACCAGAGGAAGAACTCCAACAAGTAAACTAGGTATGAGGGAATCAATGGGAGGAGACTTTTTTCAAAGGGGGAGGTTAGCCTTAATATTGTCAATCTGTGAAGTAGGGTTGAAATTAATTTTTGCTTAACGAGAGGGGGGTATGACTTAGTTTTAGGGCATATTTCACCTATTTCCCAGCCCACCACTCCAGGTATTACTGCTCAGTCCCTTAGAACAACAAATCCTGAAAATGTCAGCTCACGTGGACAAATCCTTTCCAGAATATCTCTTCTCAAAGGCAAAAATACATGTACCTCGTTTTGAGAAAACGAGCTTTGAACTTCCAGTAACAAATGCTTCTCAAAATAAAACTTCAATACCTTAAGATTCAAATTCCGGTAAAAACAAACGTGTTCGATTTTTTTTTTACAGAATCTTAGATTAACCCCCGCCTTAATGTTGAATAATGATTCTTTAATTATTGAAAACAGTTCAAGTACCAAAGAACGCTATTAATGTTACAAATACAAGATTAGAGGCGGCAGCTAACTAACGCTACGATCTGTTTTCTGATTACGTGCATAGAAATATTTAATGATGATATGCTTTTGTCAGCAATGTACATTTTTAGTCCAGCCTGTTACACTGGAGAACCTTGTCAAACAGTAATATCCTAGGCCGAGTTCGGACATGCAGTGATTTTTCAAATATGGCTCCACATGTAGTCCCAGGAACCCGCCAGCGAATTCCCCAGCAAGTGCACCCACTTGGAGCAAACCCTGAGCAAATTCTCTTTCCCTGACATCCGTGATCTTTTCAGATACTACCAGAGGAGAAGACGCATAAATACATCCGGTACAAAGTCCCATTATAAAGCACAGAACCACAATAACTTCGACATAGGGAATGAAACGATACCATGACTCAAACACGAAAAGAAACATCAACGCCAAACCAACTGTCGCCAAGATCCATGTCTTCTTGATTTGCACGTGACGAACCACACTTGAGCACATGAATGAGAGCACCAGAATATAGCAACGACTCAGGAACTTAGCAATGTTGTTAGACAGTACATAATAATCAAAGTGGTCACGTGGCTTAAAGGGTGCCTTTGGAAATGCAAGAGTGGTAATGATGGACTTCAACGAAAGAGACTCAACAAAGTACTGCCAAAAGAGAAATATCATTAGTAAATATATTTCCCTCGTTGTCAACAGTTTTCTTTTCAACGAAAGTTCGTCTGTGAGTTGCGTGTTTTGTTGGTCGTCAATGGGCTTGTATAGGACATCTGCAAAAGGGATATTTTGACGTTTGTGATCAAGCGGAGCTTTATCCAAGATGACGTACGGCAGGATGGAAAGGAAAAGCAACTGCTGGCGTAGCGATAGCTACGGTGAACCTTGGTGCAACACAAGTCCATGTTGACACCCCTGAGGACAAAATCAACAGAACTTATTTTTAACCGGAATCCATGAATGAATATGAAAATGAAATGTTGCGAAGTAATGCTTCAAGTAAATACTATACAGCAAAGACCAGCAAGCTGTGTTTAAGGTAAAAATCAGCTATGTGAAATACTGATTGTGTTTGCACGGCTAGTCAAAGAAACTACACTGTTTGAAGGGTACTGAAAGTGGGGAGGTGGGGAATAAATTCCATTTCACAGACCAAATTCGCTTTCCCAGTCTATTTTGTGCCATAACTCCAGTCCCATTCCTACCTTAATTGTTTGTGATTCTCAGTCCCAGTGATCCAAATCCCAGCGGCCCAGATCCCAGTGGCCCAGATCCCAGCGACCCAGATCTCAATGACCCAGATCCCAGTGAGTCAAGTCCCGGTGGCTCAAATCCCAGTGACTTAAACCCCATTGACCCAATCCCAGTGACCCAGATCCCAGTGACCCAGATCCCAGTGACCCAAATCCCAGTGACCCAAATCCCAGTGACCCAGATCCCAGTGACCCAGATCCCAGTGACCCAAATCCCAGTGACCCAAATCCCAGTGACTTAAATCCCATGGCCCAAAACCCGGTGACCTAAATCCCAGTGACCTAAATCCCAGTGACGCAAATAGATTAGACTTTGACCATAACGCTAAGTGGGTATAGGGCTAGACACTCTCCTTCACCATGTCACACGGTCACGAGCAGCCACTATTGCCTCGCTTCATGAGCCATGTGATAAAATTATCATTTGGAGTTAGGCAAGTAGTTGTGCTGTTCCCCATGTAACATTGCTTGTTAGAGTTTCTGGTATCCGTAATCGATAAGGACGTGCGAGGACATGCGACAGCCGACTTGGTGCCAGAGCCTATGACACGGTGGGCATTTCCTGGCATTTGCGAAGTGCACCTGGTGGCCCCAGCGCACTACACCAGGACCCCTTACCACCCTTCAACCCCAGTGACCCAAATAGCAGTGACCAAAATCCCCATTTTCCTCGTGAAAAAATAATCAAATCCCAATTTCTCTTTTATCTCTTTAGGCCTCTCTGTCTATGTTCGCACCCGCGACTCTCTTGGTCGCTACACACTATTTCAAAGAAACTAATTTAGCTTGCGTAGCTTGGCGGTTTAAGCAATTTTTTAAGCAATTTGAGAGCGAGCGCACAAAGCGGCGAAGCTGCGAGGAACGGCCTGCCTTGATTACCCGCATTTTTTATTGCCGCCCCCCTACTATATATTTTTGACAACCCGATGACAGGTTTTATGAATCGTATATATTTCAATGTGTAAGACTTTTGACCAGAGTCGCATTTAAAGGTTTTCAAGTTATCGCTCTTGGTTGTGCAGGCGGACATCAATCCGATCGTACGATGAGTTGCGTGCTTGACACTGTCATGGAAAGCCTAGTATTTAGAATTAAATTTATTAAGGTGTGATCGTATTCGTTAAATAGCTGCTTAATTACTTCCCATAGGATCAGCTTTTAAAATTTTATTTATTCTGTAGCACCTATGACGTAACCTATATTCTTTTATTGCGTAACCAGTTCTGTTCTATGCCCTTGTAATCAATCTTCATCCAATAGTTTTCTTTCCCTTTCTCTCATTTTGCACCTTGCATTTGCATATTTAGGGTTTTGGGTTGATACGTGTAGTGAGGTCTTTCTGTGTGTAGAAGAAGAAGGCTGAAGCGTAGTTACGAGCGAGGTTAGAAAGTGGCAGGAACACGTCCGGAAGCACATTTTCCTTACTGGGAAGCCATCAGTAAACTATTCCTAAATTCACGACAAAGAGCCATTTGCCGAGGAACGCGAGTGCGAAATAGCTGGTCGAAACAATCGAAGAACAAGTTATAAAGTTCTGTCGCTTACGCTATACAACAATACAACAACTTGCAATTCATGTACTACTATTGACAAATTCTTACTTATGCATATAGTTATACTAATACTTAAAATAGCAACATTTCATACCGCATACTTCTTGAAATTTTATTTTCGTATTATGGATATATTAATTATTCTGACACTGGAGGGCGTCCTTCGAGGGGTCCCACTTCCTTTGATCTAGAGCTATTTTTTTTCAATGTTCATGGAGGTTGTATATATACTTGCAGCCTAGGTATGGAGTTCTTTAATTTACAGGTATATATGTAATGTCTAGCAATAAGTAGCAGGTGGTTTAGTTGTACATATGATGTACATTTTCGACTAAACCTAGGCAGAAAGAGGGAGAGAAAAAAAGTCTTAACGATTAATTTACAAATATTTGGGAAATCCATACAAGTACTGAAGTGTTTCCAAACTGCTTAGGTATGTTTGCAGTTCCAAAACAAGTGGACCAAAGTTTCGGTAGTTTCCCCGTAGAAGGAACAAGAGTCCACTTGGTTTAAGCCTATCTTGCAGAGAAAGTCATTTGTCGCTATTCGTCTATGCAGAAACTTAAACTGGAATACTCTGAGCTTTGTTTCTCTTGTACAGAGGAAAGGCAGATAGTAAGAGTTTCGCCAATTAACGGTCGAATTTCCCACTATGTCCCTCTCAGAAGGCCATTTTACTTGACTCTATAATGGTGTAGAGGCTTTGTCTAGCGCAAGGCGTCTGTAAGATTCTTTGTTAATATTGAGTACGACATGCACAGAAGACGCTATGTCATTTGTAGATGGGTTATCCTAGGGAGGTGAGCATACTTTCTTGACTTGTTTTAAGGCTGCTATTACTTTAAAATACTCAAGGTAGTTGGTTTTAATATTATACTTAGCGACAAATGCTAAGTATAATAACCCCTGCCTTAAGCCAAGATGTATAGAAGAAAGGTCGGTTATCTATTCTAATCAGTGAGTTGTGCCACATGGAGTTAAAATCAAGGTTTTTCTCTCTGTAGTTCAAACTAGTCCAGTGTTGGTGTTGTTTGTTGTTCAGTGTAATTTTTCTCGAGAAATGGTCTCTTAGATTAGATGAGGAACATCCTGTGGTTAAAGGTTACTTAAGAACATTACTTTTCCTCCGTACTTCTGGAGGTGGAAGTCTACGAAAAGCTTGTCGTCATTTAAGTATCCTTGTACCTACCTCATTTTCAGAGATGTATTCAAACTTTGGATATCTATCACCTTGAGGCCTCCGTTATCATAATCATTGAACATTTCTGTCCTTTCGACTTTGTTCCCTTTACTATTCCAGACAAAATCATAGAGCAGGGTATTAATTTCTTTAAGTGCATCGTGCATGATGCGTTGAGAGAGAGGATAGAACATGCACAATATGAGATACTGCTAAACATGTTATGATCGTGATTTTACCTAGAAGAGTTAATCGTCTCATGAGAAGACCAGCTGTTTAGGATGTTTTTTGTTTTCTCTATTTTTTCGGAAAAGTTAACGTAAAAAGCGTTTTCTTCTAAAGTCGAAAACCAGACTCCTAAGGCGTAGACTTTTCCATCAGCCCATGTTATATGTTTGTTATAAAATAATATATTGTTAGAGCTTTTGAATGAGCCGATCGAGAGGGCTTCCGTTTTCTCGTAATGAACTTTCAAGCCGGACATAGAGCCAAATGCTTCAAACAAGTATCGAGTTCTTGACATTGAGGATTGTGAGCCATCTAAGATCACTGTCGTATCTTCTGAGTATTGCGAAATTTTGCATTCGATTCCCAAGATCGTGATTCCATGAACCTCTTTATCATTTCTTACTGTACTATCCAAACGTTCTGCGCATAGAATGAACAAATATGTGGAAAGGGGACAGCCCTGCCCCACACCGCGACTTAACGTGAAGAACTCCGAGGCCCAGCCGTTGTTTTGGATACAGCTGCTAATATCAGCGTAGAATAATTTCATCCACGCAAAACGGCAAGGATGGTCCAAAGTTGTAATATTTTAGGGTTTTCTCGATAAATGAAACTCCACTCTACCGGCACTATGAAAGGCCGTTTCTCGAAGTCGATAGATAATAAAAGGCCACGAATTTGTTCGGTATTTGTGTAATTTATGATACTATCCAAAAGCCCAACGCTCTCTCCAATAAATCGTTTTTTTAGAAAACCGGTTTAGTCGTAGTTAATAATTCTTGGTAGAGCTTTACGCATTTGACTAGCAATAGATTTAGTCGCAATTTTGTAATCACAGTTAAGAAGGGTAATTGGTCTCCACTTCTTTAAGAAAATTGGCCGGTTTGTTCTTTTTTTGGTAAAAGGGTGATTAATCCCTATGTCCTCTTCTTTGGGTAATTGGTAGAAGACCATTTGCATATGCACAATTTAATGCGTTAAATAGTGATGTATGTCATTCCAGCAAACCTTGTAGAATTCGGCTGGGAGGCCGTCGCTTCTAGGGCTTTTATTTGATTCCATTAATTTCAAACTTTCTAGGTATTCAACTTCAGTCGGAGTTAGCCACAACAAATTATATGCTAAGGTAGAACGTGGTTCCTACTCGGAGCATAGCTCTAGTTGTCAGCCATGTTTCGTACAAAAAGTCAGAAACTATTTATTGATTTCAGTGAAGTTAAAAATTTTCCCATAGGATTTTGCCGGTATCAGTTGTACGGTGGCATCGGGGGTGATATTGCCTGCAACCTTAACTTATGGTTTACTACTGACCTCGCATGCAGTGTGATCTCGAAGACTATACCAGCTTCAAATAATTCTATTTCAGAGAACTAACATGACCTTGATGCTTTGTTAAAAACAAAATACATGTATATGAAGAAACGGGCCAAAGATAATTCCCAATGACAAATGTCTGCGCTTAGTGCTGCTGAGTGCTGTAATCCAAGAAGTTAAATAAACCAGTTTGTTTTCCGGTTACCGGATGATCCTGAGTTCTGTATGGGAACAACCCTGCTGTGCATTGACGCTCTTTACATCATCCTTCCCTTCGGCAGCATTTTGTACCATTTAGGTAAACTAGTATTCAATAAATAATCAACAAAATGAAGAGTTGAGTGAAACGTTTATTCATTTTTCCTATAGAAGAGCGTTAAACGGCCCGCGGGTCTCTGATTCAAGTGAATCTTATTTTACAACAATATAGTTGGTCACGATGGCTAAGGTAACAATCTGGAAGTTTATCCGGCAGAGAAACTGTTAAATGCTATAAAATCTTTAAATATGCACGCAGTCTGGAAGGTTCGCTTAATTGTGGTTTCACTGTACATTCTGAAACAATTAACAATTGCTATCCAGGCTCCCTATATGTATTGACGCCAACTGTTAACATCATCATCATCATCATCATCATCATCATCATCATCATTATCATCGTCATCGTCATCGTCGTCGTCGTCATCATAATCGTCAATATTAAAGTAATATTAATACCAAGGAGGATGCGAAACTTAAGGGTTTCCATAAAAACACCAAGGAACGCCGCGAATGCTTGAGTTATAACAACATCCTCTGTTTTCACATTCTTCTTTACTTCCCTTTCCGCAGCCTTGGCGATTTTGAGGCGCTACAGAACAAATTTCTGTAATAACAAAACAACATGCATTATTATAATCCATCAAATATTTTCGCTCGCGCGCGATTGGTCTAAACGCGTCACGTGACTGAATATTCCCCGGCTTAAACTGGCCAATATCCAATTGATATTCTCCAATTTTCAAAACTGCGCGTGTTGCGAGAAATATTTGAAGGATAACAAACACAATAGCCTCCATTTGGCGCGGAAGCTCACAATTTTCTTAGAGCTTCGCTCTCGGGAAATTGTCCGCTTCTCAGAACAGACAATGTCACGAGGACAAATATCCGAGCATATTTTCGCGCCAAATAGGGGCTATTGTTTGCATTAAAGTACGGGTTCTCTTACCAACACGACCCCGGCGATATGATCCGTGAAAATAGATGCCTTTCTTTGACTGAAACTACCGTTAAAAAAATTAACCTTATTAAAAATGCTAATAATACTTAAGATCGTTAAGCGATTTTCAATTAATTAAGAAATAGAAAACATGTCCCGTGTTTCTGTTGAGTTACAGAAACACGAGTGGAAGTCTGAGAGAACAAGAAATGCTTTGGGAATTAACTCAAACCGAAAGGCGAGTGTTTTCACATCTTTTTCGAGTTCTAGCTTCTAACCTTACAGCGCGCCTGTTTTCTGTGGGTTATTTTTAAACCGTTATGTTGTGGGTGGCTTCATCGCTCGGTGTATTTGAGCCAGATAATACAGAATTGTTATAACAAGACATGCATGTCATATGTTGTACTTACCAGTTTGGCAGTGTACGCCTGTGCAGCCAGCTGGGCAGCTACAAACATATCCATTAACCTGGTCTGCACACGCTCCTCCGTTTAAACAAGGATTACTGGCGCATTCGTTGATATCTGCGTAAAAATATTTGCCGGTTCACTTTGTTAAGACGTCCAGAAATTTTGAAGAAAACAGACCAGTGTAAAGGGAGTATAGGCATGCCTTACTGATGTAAATGCATATTATTAATTCACTATTTTTCAGGAAATTTTCTGAGATTTATATTTAATGTGCACATGTTGTGTCATAGTTATATCACTTTTGTAATTTTAAAACCAATACAAGAATTAACCAAAATGATAATAATACCAAAAACTTTAAAATATCTCAAGTTTTGGTTTAAGTGACAAATACTGTTTCTTGATGGGGAATGGCTAATCTGCGTGATGCTTAAGTGTCCAACGCACTTGCAATTCCCTTTGGTTATGCATCACTACGTTACACGATTGGCTTAAAAAATCGCGCCAGTTTGTCATCCAATCAGAAGTAAAACCAAAATTAACCAATCGTGACTCTATCAGATGTTTTCCCGTGTTTCGCACTTCGTGTGTATTTACTTCGAGTTTTGATTGTTTCACTAGATTGTCTGTGTCCTTTGCGATTGGTCAGAGTGATTTTAATTTTACACTGCTATCGCTCGGTTTTGGAAATCAGTTTGTTATGCATTACCGAGTCAATTAGTGAAGCAAAAACCATGGTAGACTCCTGTTATGCGCATGCCGGAGTTATGTTTTTTGATACCACTCTCAGATCGGAAATTGCGTACATATCAGACAAAAGTAAATTAAACTGACCCACTCCACAGTGCTTTCCGGTAAAACCTGCTTTGCAAACACACTGATAGTCATCTCCATTGTAAATCGGTCGACAGAAAGAAGTTCCATGTTGACAAGGGTTGTTCATGCAAGGTGTGTGTGGAAAAATACAGTGAAACTTTCTCAGAATTGTAAAAATGTCTGTTACTAAAAACGTAATTCGTAAAAAGTGAGAAGGATCACTCTCGCTGGAGTTTATTTCTGAATAAACACTGAGTAACCCCGCTGACCCTGTGCCAACTGAGACAGTATAGGGCATTTTATAATAAATTGCAGTATGTCTAGAGCAAAAACGTCTTTATTGAATAGAAAATATTTTTCTGTAATCTGTATAACAGGTATTCTATGAGCAACTGCGGTTATCCTAAATTATCAAATAATATTATTGTATGCAAGACTTTTATTCATGAGTCTTTTGGTGCGAAGATAACGACATTTCGGCAGGCACATTGACAACGAATTTTGCTAGTCTGAAAGAGTGAGTTCTGGTTCGAAAACAACCTGTCAAGTCTTCGAAATGGGTTTTGCAAAGTCAGTCAAATCTTTGATTATGAACGAGTAACGTTTGTTTCCAAACTATCACTTGTCTACAAATGATCCAGAACGAGTAAGAATATTTCACAAAACTAAAACAAGCTGGAATTGTTAAAGAACAAAAACGTGTGACTCTTACCTTGATATTATAATGATCAAAGCCATCGTGGCAAACTAAATCCTCCGAGTTGAGAAACTTGTCAGTATTCAGCAGCTCACAAGAATGTCTTCCGTCAAGTAAAGTTGCAGCGAAATTAAATGAGTAACAATCTTGATTATGAATGCATTGATAAGCACATTCTATGGGGCTCAAGACCATGAAGCTAACCAGAACAGCGCCATTTAACCGGTGCGAAGGATTGTTAACAAAATACGCGAGATTTACTGTATTGTATTTGCCATCTCTTCGGAAACTTTCAGGGCCGGTTGAGGTGTAAATACATATTGCAAAAATTAAAGGAATCACTAAAGAGAGCGGTAATTTGCCGTGTTTCATCTGCAAACCAAAAGAAGACAGATTATGATCGAAGCTAATCTTGAATTAAGATTGTTTTAAAACTGTCAGCAAAACTCAGTAATTCGTGATGCTTAAGTTACAAGCACTGGCGCGAAAGCTTAAAACATCGATTCTCTGATTCTGAAAATACTATAACTAAGGTAATGAAACGAAAGCTTAGATCGCCGCAATTGCAATAATCATAACGCTGTCAGTTCTTACTCTTTAAGCGGCACAAACACAAGCGAGGGAAAAGATATCATGCCCCTAGCCCCCAAAAAATAACATCTGCCGGCAACACTATGACAACAAATAAAATTCCAAGATCTTAGCTCTTTCCGATTATTGAAGAAGACTTCTTACCTCTCAAGTCTGTTGCATCCCTTAATCTGGTGCCTCCCAATAAAAAGATGTTTGTTCACCGGCCGTCGTACATTTTACTTGTATATGTAATTTTGACAGCAACTTTAACTTTATTCGGACAAGGACGAAAAAAAGCAAAGATTTTCAATAATCATAATGCGGTCAGTTCTTACTCTTTAAGCGGCACAAACACAAGCGAGGTAAAGGATATCATGCCCCTAGCCCCCAAAAAATAACATCTGCCGGCAACACTGTTACAAGAAATAAAATTCCAAGATCTTAGCTCTTTCCGAAATATTGAAGAAGGCTTTTTAGCTCTCAAGTCTGTTGCATCCCTTAATCTGATGCCTCCTAAAAAAAAAGATGTTTGTTCACCGGCCGTCGCACATTTTACTTTTATATGTAATTTTGACCGCAAGTTTAACTTTATTCAGACAAGAACGAAAAAAAAAAAAAAAAAAAAACACAAACTTTTTTTGGGGTATATATCTACCACAGAGAAATTGAATTGTTGATCCTTATTATGTTACAGAGTAATCAATCTGCCGAGGATCTGTTATAATAAGACACCGCGGGAGAACTATACGGCTAAATTCCAGGGCTTGTATATGTTTTTCAAACACGTGAGTCGCCTGGTTTCCAGTGCTGTTGTGTGGAATTTCTTTTCTTTTTCTACAGTCCTGTGACATACAAGTCAGATCTTGCAATCCGAGGACTGGGTCGAGTAATGGCGACGTAAAGACGTGCGTTGCTGCCGCCCGCCGATCTTTCTGCTCTGTTTTTGGTAAATGGC